TTATCATTATTATTATATTTCTCATAGAAATCCTTAACATTATAAAATGTCAAAGGAATCGAATTAACGAATGATTTACATTTTGAACACAAGCAATTATCAGATCGTTCAAATAAATATAAAATATTTTAATTAGCACAGACTTAAAATTACTAATTCTACGAGAAATATTAAGGGAAGTTTTTATCAAGACGTAGGATATTATATCGACACGGGTATTTATAAAAATCGCTCTTTGCATATAAACGTTATTTATAATTTATGTAATGATACATTTGAATCATATGGTGCAGTGCTTGTATTGATCGCAAAAAATAATAATAACATAAACGAGTGCAATATCTGTAAATAGAGATTAATACCATTTTTATTCAAGAAGATATGATATCGAGATTGGCAGCATGTTGAACATTTTACATGGTATTGTCTATATTTTTTCTAATACATTTTTTCTTCCTACCCTAGAATTTTGTTCTATGTATGTACATATTTATTGCTACAGCTCTGCTTAATTTGATTTTGGTTCCTTGTTTTTAAATGGTAACATGATATATACGTTTGCATTACACTTGTCATTTATGAGAACAGCTTTTTTGAGATTGGTGCTTCGACAACAATATCGAAAAAATATATACAATTCTTAATATTTTTGTTAGTATAAAAATGTTCAAATTTTTTTTGTTGAAGTTACACGCCACCCAGTTTGTTATATTCTGTCTTCTCGAAAGGTCTTAGCAAACGATACAAAAGAAATGACGAAGAAGAAGGGAATTTTAATATTAATCAACATTAAAGTTATATACAAGAAACGAAAACGAAAACATTAAAATATTTTTTCAAGCAACATCCATATTAACATAATTGCAATGGGTGCCACATAATGTATTGGTACAGTGTACGTTGTATTTAACAAGTCACCACATTGTGCTTTAACAGATGTATATTTTTTCGAGAGTTCTGCTTTCTCTTCGACGAACGCATTGTACTTTTCTTTTAAAATAACTAATTCTTCATGGAGCTCTTGAATTCTTTGAGCTTCGTTCTTGGCACGATAATATAGTTGCTTTAATTTTTCAACAATTTCCTCGTTAGGTTTACAAACTAACCAATCCTTCAGGCTTTCTAACTCTTTCTTGATAATTTGTTGTGATTCTAAATTGTCTTCAAGTTTTAACGAATCTAAAGATCCTATTAAAGTTTGTAGTAAATATTCTCTTGTATGTATACTTTGCTGCACGTTATCATTCTTGGATAATGGTTTTAGAGTTTTAACATAATCTCCTTCTAAATGTTCTTCTTCACACTCTTTATCTAATTCACAACTATCCTTATCTGTTTCATCTTTCTTTTCAAATTGATCAATTTCCATAGGAACAGATTCATTTGAAGTGATCTTGACATTAATCATGCTGTCAATATTAACTTCTGCTTCTTCACTTTCATTTAATTTCTGTACAGATTGAGGTGAATAAGAAGTTTCCAGTTGTTTGTCATTTTCTTCACACATAAATCTAACTTCCGTTTTATAAGGTACAAAAATTTCTTCTGCTACTTTATACACAGATTCTTCTTTTTTAATTTCTATAACAGATTTTTCACTTGTATCATCACTGGTAATACTGCATGTATCATCTGTTGCATCTGAATTAGCATCAGATCCTGAGTTCATGTCTGTATTATCTATATTTACATTTCCATTAACTAAAGTTTTCCGAGGTGGTGGTAAAATATATTCTGTTGAATTATCATTATTAACCAATGAATCATCTAACTGTTCTTTCGAAAAAGAATCATCAGAATTTTTTAATTGATTTGAATCAATATCTTGCAAGTTGATTTGATTATCTTGTTCATCTTTTAAAAAATAAAAGTTTGTGTCTGCATCAATATCTATATTATCAACATGAATAGAATTTAATTTATTAAGGATAATGTTGATAGCCTCAATGGGATTTTCTTCATCTTTTGAATCTATAATGCCAGTTGTTACTAATTTTGTATTCATGTCCTGTAAAATTTGCATGTAATTTCTGAGGGCAGTGATCTGTTTATAAATATTAACAGAATCTAATCGAGAATCACGTAATCTTGTCTGCAAAATTTTTTCAGTTCTAGATTGATCTTCCAGTCTCTTTAAAAATTCTTGTTTTTCTTGTTCTGTGCTTTGTACTATGTCCTGTATTTTGTCCTCACTCTCTTTTAGCTTATTTGTAGTTTCTTGTAACTTCTTTTGTGCTTCTGTATATTTGTTACATAACTCCTGAAATTCTGTTTGAGTATATTTCGCTACATTGTGAAGACTTTGACATTCCTCTTCTGTTTCATTTAAACGTCCCTCTAATTGAACTAATCTTTGAGTCACTTCTAATTTCTCTTGCAATACTTTCTGCAATGCCTCCTTTGCTGCATTTTGGTAGTGTACTTTCTCTTCCTGAAGTGATACCAACTCATTTCTGATTTTGTCTTCTGTATAATTTTTAGAGTAAACAGCTAACTGATTTTCCATACTTTCCACCCAGGACAATAAACGATCCTCTGTAATCAGGGCTTTCCATGATTGATTGGCAGCCTTTCGAGTATTTGCTACAAGTTGTTGAAGATACACTAACTTAGAATAAAGTGCTTTTTCGCGTCTCGAGGCCTCTTGCATAACTTGATTCAACTTGTACACATCTTCCAATGAAACGTTATTGAGTGGAGATGCAACTGACGTACTAAGACTAGCTTTAGCCTCCTTTCCATCCGGCAAGTATAATTTCAATGTTGCAACTATACATCCGTGCCTAACTTTCTTTGTACTTTCTATCACATCTACTCCGAATTGCACTATGTCACCAGAACAGACTTCTTTAGGTGCTGATTCTAAACCAGCCGCACTAAGTCTCTGATTGTTAACAAATGTCCCATTACTACTACGTGTGTCCTGTAAAAAAAACTTCCCACTTGAATACCATAACAGCGCATGGTTTCTGGATAGTACTTTACAATCAAAAATGGCATTGTTTGGCGTGGCTCTGGCTCTTGCTACAGAACGGCCAATCTTCACAGGTTGTTCCAAAGTCAATGTACGTTCTTCAAAAGGATGAGAATTATCACGACAGATTAAAATCCCTTTGGCTGTCATTTTGTTGTTTTGTAGTGAATTTATTTTCAAGTTGGAATTCTGACTGGCAGGAAAACTGGCATTTTGTACCCATTCACCACTGGCTACAACCATAGCCGATGTAAAATCCAAAAGAGTGACAAGTTTTTTCCCAGTAACAAATTTAAAACACGTACAAGAGACGAATTATTGACACATAACGAAGTTCGTGGAAACCGAAAGTCACGCGTTTTAATATCATTGAATATCTTTACTGTCTGTGCACAGTTTGTCACGAAAATTACTGTACACACCCGATTCTACAATTTGAACACGAGGATTGTACTTCGACCTTCCAAAACTTGAAATCTGTTACAATAACAAATAACATACAAATTCACATGTTTCTGCGGTAGAAAAAAAAAGGAAAAGAAAAAAATTCCGTTACTATTCCAACAATCTTGCTTGGTGTTCCTTTTTCTATTTGTCGTGAAGTTTCTCGTACGAATGTTACAGTTGCACGCCTATGCTTGTCAATTAGTCGAGTCCAGAATATTCTTTGGTTGGTTATAATCAAACAAATATGATCTCATCAACAATATGATCTAGACTGAATTGGAAATCAAGCTAAGAGCTATGTATTTCCTCGAGTAAGTAGCGGTGAGCGTACGCTTTCACACTTTCGTCCTTCGCACCAGTTCCCTTGCACTTTGGTGTCTTCGACGATGCATTCAGGAAAGTTCATCGGAGAAGTGTGAAACGCACCATACGCAATCAATGTTTCTCGGACATGATGAATTGAGTAATGTTGTGATCAACTAGATCAAGACCAAAAATATTGTTCTCGAACTACTGCATTACTGTATCGAGATACAAGCAGTCCACGTTCCTTTAACACACAGTACTATTCAATTCCGCGTTTCGCTGTTTATCGACCGACGGCAGTATAGTCATCTATACGACTACACGGTGTAGCAAATTTAAAGCAGATACTTGGGCGTGCTACATCGCAACAATCATTCACAAGGGAGGGACATATAAAAAGACATTTGTAATAAAAAAAAAAAAGAAGAAAAAAAACAAATGACAGAGTTGAAAACATGAATTTAATATTGGTGTATATATTTCAAATCAGTGATATAAAATTGAGACCGTGAAATCTTCTACTAACTATGTATCTGTAGCTGCGTTAATTATTTAAAAAATGCTTATATTTGTTTGTATTTAGCAAATCGAATTTATTAAGTTTATTTTGAAAAGTTAATACCGTAACCATCGAAGTATTATTCATAACGCAAGACGGAAGAATAAAATAAATATCTCGATTCGATGTTTTTTCATGAAAATATATTTATATTCTTGCTCTTGCAAAATAAAAACTATGTAGCATAAAGAAAACATCTTCGTGTAAATGTTAATGGGCATCGCGTATGCATCAGTGAACTCATATAGCTTATAGAAGAAAATAATAATATCGTTATAAAAAAAGCTGTCTTTTAAAATTATTTTCGATTGATTAAGAATATAAAATGAAGAGCTGACAAACGATATTTGTTGCATTTAAAACATTATTTAAGAAAAACAACAATTTATATTTAGAAACATCAATAGTTTTCTTTTAGAACATAAGTACTTCGTACACGTGACAAAAGTAGATTTGTAAACTATTATAATAATTCTATAATAACAATTTATTAAGTGTTATAGTCTCGAAACTAAAATAACCAAATTATTTCTTTTATATATAAAATATGTATTGTGCTTATTTATTGAATTGTAATTAATATGAATTTAATACTATTTACATACGATTTACGAGAGTCACGAAAGTGCAGGACTTTTGTTCATAAAACACCATAAACAACTAAACTTTTTTTAAGACAACTGCTATAGAGATTTTCAGAAATCAATATTTTAAATGGAGTTAATGGATACCTTTAAGCATATGTGCTTCGAGTATTCTTATATGAAAACATACGAAGATCAATGTTTGTTGAATGGCACACTGTATACGGAAATACTGTGAACATAATCTAAGTAAGGTTATACGGTAAACTTCACGGTCTCAAATAATGTTTAAGGAAATTTTAATATACAAATTATGTAAAAAAATATTCTAACAATTCGTTTCTTGATTATATACAATTTTGTATTTACTTTTTATAATTGAAATATGATATAAACGAGTATAATAAGATTGATGCGCGTTTGTGTATGCTCAAATAGCTGTGTGTATATTTCTTTTTTCTTTTTCAGGTAGTTAATCAGTATTTTATAATTTCATAAGATTTACATTATAATTTATATTTGTAATAAAACACAAAGAAAATAAAGAAATAAATAAGGATGTCAGATACAGAAGATTATATGTCGGATAAATTTTTACAAGGAATTGAAAAATCTGCTTCATCAAGCCTCATATATCGACATGCAGATAAAAGAAAATTTGAACTCATGAAAAAAAAAATCGAGATTGATGCCAAACTGAATGAGAAAAACTCCATAAAACATATCGAAGAAGAAAAAAGGGAAGCAGGCTTATCTTCTGCAATTACAAGTTCTAATAAAGGTTTGCCTTTGAGTTTTCATGAAATTTCAATTTTACTGCTTGATTATACAAATTTATGTACGTTTTAATAGGTTATGAAATGATTATGAAAATGGGATATAAGCCTGGTCATGGAATAGGTAAAACAGAATCGGGAAGAACTGAACCAATTGGTCTTGAAATAAAATTAGACAGACAAGGTTTGGGAAAAGAAATTGCAAAAAAAGAAAGAAAAAAAAAAGATAATTTGCTTAATGATAGATTAGATAATAAGAGTATGAAAGATTTTCGGGATAGAATTGCACAAAAAAAGACAGAACAATTATTGAAAACAGACTTGTATAAAAGTCAAAAAGTCTGTCAGAAATTAGATATGCAACAAGAAATAGAAAAACCTAGAGAAACATGGTTTTGGTTGCCTCAAGATGATGAAGATGATACAGATAATAGTGATACAGAAGAAGATGATGATTCTTTATCTGTTGATGAAAAACTTGAAATTTTAACTAAGTATTTAAGAGAAAAATATTTTTATTGTATCTGGTGTGGAGTGGGCTTTCTGGATGAAGATGATTTAAGAGATAATTGTCCAGGAAGTACAAGGAATGATCACTAAATCAGAATTTTTAATTTGTATCTCATTTCAATTAGAAGTGTATATAAATAAAAAAAAAGATACAATCAAGATTTCATTACCATGTTTTTACTTGCACCTGTTTGTATGTTTTAATTATGTTATAAAAAGTACAAAAAACTCAGAATCTCAATAATATAAGAGTTATACTTCTTTAATATGGTCACCCACAGTGTATGAAAACATAAAAAACCCATTAGAGTTATAATGCAAAATACTGAAAAAGTATAGTTCTTATACTAGAAAAAATCTTACACTGTACAATGTAAAAGCAAGGGAAACTTATCCCGATTCAGTTATGCTATTATGTCTTAGCAGGAGTTCAGCACCCCCAAGTAATAACATGTTAGAGGGAAAGTTACCTATAAAAGCATCTGTTTGATTTTCTGCTCTTTCATTTCAGACAGAATCTTTGACCATAGCTTTACCTGTTTACTTAAAACAGATTAAATATCAATTAAAGAAATTCTAGCACAATGTTTATATTTATGATTTTTTTTGTATTAATTGCATCTATATATACTAATGATATAGTTGCTCAAGTAACAGATGATGAAAGTTGTGAAACATTACAGTCAGAAATACATATTACAAAAGGTATTATTTCTTATTCTAATTTGATTAATTTTATATGTAAATAAAAGTAAAAACTAAGATATTTTTTGTTTATTTTAGATCAATATGATGAAATAGGTCGATTAAAAAGAACTTGTAACGGAGATATATCTGTTACAAAATGTGAAGGGTTTTGTAGTTCACAAGTACAACCAAGTGTTGCAAGTACAACAGGATTTTCAAAGGTGAGACTACTATTTTAAAGAGGAATAAAGTTTTCATAAAAACAATGAAACAAACACTTTTGAAGATCTTTTTTATTTTCCCAATAGGAATGTTATTGCTGTCGTGAGAGTTATTTAAAAGAAAGACATATTACCTTACATCATTGTTATGATGCAGATGGTATAAAATTAATAAATGAAGATGGAGTAATGGAAATCAAGATAAGAGAACCAGCAGAATGTAAATGTATTAAATGTGGCGATATATCTCGATAAATATGAAAATATTTCATAAAAGTATTAATAAAACATACATATAAAAATTAAATGTAATAAAAATTATATAATTTAAAATAAAAATAAAAATATGGAATATATTTAAGAATATTTTCTTCCCCTTCCCTTTTATATTTATAAACTATAACAAAAAATAAATACTATACTGCTATATTAGCTAAATGTTTAATTTAAAATTAAATAAATTAAATATTAAAAAATAATATATCATTTTTATATTATACATAATTATTTCTTTTGTAATGTAATAAAGTAATAAAATAATGTAATAAGTAATAAAATTTAATCAATTTAGACATTTATAAAATAGAATTTTATTTATAAAAAAAAATTAAGATTTCTTAATCTTGGTTAAAAAGTTAAGATTATAAAAAGAGTTATTTAATTAATTAAAATATCAATAAGTGATAAAATTCCACAAAAATTAAATTAATACATATTATTACAACAATCAAATTAAAACATTAAAAATAATAAATAAATAATTAATATAATGAATATACAATAAATAATTAAGTTTCTAATTTTATCATGAATGATATTTGTTAAAAGATAGCATTTTAAAAATAATAATACTACATTTTAGAATTTTTAACAGCTAAATGTCATATATATATATATATATATATATATATATATATATATATATATA